CTATATCCTTATCATATCTCCCATCCCTGCTGAATACACATCCCAAATATACAAACTCATCTACTTGCTCAACCAAATCACCAAATCAAGTCAAATCAAATAATCATCTGCAATAGAATAAATTTGATGTTTAATTGTTTATAAAAATTTGATGTTTAATTATCTTGATTTTGAATAATAAAACCAAACTTATAATTAGTCACAAAATTAGTTAATTTGAAAAAACTTAGTCACACTATTAACATTACTAATTCTCCTGTTTACGACTGTAGTGACCAAATACTCAAACACTTCTCAATTTTAAGATGTTGTTTAGTCTCATACTAGCATAAAGTGACTGCACTTTGACATAAAGTGATAGAGACAGCATGAGACTTAATGGCATCTTAAAATTGACTGAAGAGTACATTACAGTAGTGAAATGGCAAACTCGAACCCAAACATTCTGAGTTTGGGGTCTGTACCGAATTATATATCTCAACTGTCGCTTACAACTTAAAATTTGCGTTTAAGAAGCATATTTTGAGTCTTTCTTGATTTAAGCCATCAAATTCATTTCAATTTGGAATTTATTTCAGGCTATTACCATTGAAGCTGAGGAACGCAAAGATGGCTCTCGCAGAACCACCCGTTACGACATTGATATGACGAAATGTATATACTGCGGTTTCTGTCAGGTACTGCCATCATTATTTTCATTTAGTGTTTTAATAAGCAATAATTATTTCCTGTTAACACATAATTTATTTACATAAATAGGATGACAAGCACAGAGTTCACCTGATGGTGATTGTATACTGTGGTCCATAGACACCTGCATCTATTATAACAAGGAACCCTAATGTTATGCTCTTGAACGAATTAACCACTGGACCCGACATAAAATAAAAATGTATGAAAACTCGTTCAACCAAGTGGAGAATAACGCGCACGAAGATTTTATTACGTCAATATAAACACAGATAGAAAATTCGTAGAAGTTCATTCTATTTCTAGTGCTTGATCGTAGTCAATAAAATATATCGATGAACGAATGAGAAAGAAAAGGCGTATCGTAAATAAACTGTAAGACAAAGGAAATAAAGGGACAATGAAGGTGAGGTAAGCTTCCAGTATTTAAGTTTCAATTAAAATAAAAGAAGCAGGACGTTGGTACGGACTTTTTATTCATTGAAATAATTTTTATTTATTCAATTATAGTTATCATAAACGTCAAATTTTTTGTTAAGTTTAAATTATTTAAATAGGTTTACTGACTTTTATTATGTATCATCTTTCTTAAAATGTGTTTCTTAGAATTTGTTTTGTTCGCTTGTTTTCTTATATAAGCAATTCTAATATTTAAATACTTTTCAGCAATGGCTTTCGTTAATTCTTTGACGTGATTCACGTCGTCGTTTTCAAATTTATGGAAATGAATGTCTTCGTACAACAGAAGTTGAAGCAATGTTTCTGTTACTTTTGGCAGAAGAAAGTCTGTTGTGTAATCTTTTTTTAGTCTTTTATTCTGAACACCCTTCCTAAGTTCGAGTTCGCAGTGCTAACAAATAGCAATGGTATCACTTGAGGAAAGTATGTTTTCCCTTGTCTTTATGGGCAATGAGACTGCTTTCATTGGTGTTGTTTTCTGTTTCTTTGCATTAGTATTAAAACAGGCAGTCGGTATCGAAATGTACACTGCATATGGCGCTGTGTTTCGTCGGAATCCAGGTTTCATCTCTATGAACTGCTTCTACCCACTTTCTCTTCCGAGAAGGGTCACTGGGAAATCTGAAAAATCATGTAATTTATGTTTAAATATTTTATACTAATTATAATTTTTGCATTTATAATATTTTTGTTTAATTATAAAAATTATTATTATAAATTTAATGACATCAGGTTGTAGGATACTGTTATATAAGTATTTTTAAGTGTATTGCACAAATAACATCATTCATTCGGTCATATCGTCAAATATCAATATATTTTTTGACATGGTCAAGCAATAGTCGATATCAAATTGACTCACTCCACAGTTGTAGTCATTCCTTCTGAATGGTATTATAATCCAGCCATTTTTTGATGGTTGTCAGATGTCAACAATACATAGAAATGTTATAGTAAAGTACTTACAAGTGAAAAGAAATAGTGCTGCTTCCTCCGCTAGTTTTTACACTATTTAACTGAACATTTAGTCATTTTTGGGAGATGTTTTGTTGACAAGTAAGTGCTTGAGACTGACGTAAAAATAAACAACCAAGGCTAGAATTTCCTGGTTACTGACTAGACCAGTATAGGTGCGTCCGCTTAAATGTCGGGTCCAGTGGTTAATTCGTTCAAGGTTATGCTATTAAGCCACTTTGTTTTCAGATTTGTTAGTTAGCTCACAGTTCTACAAGATTTCCTCATGCGAAAAAAGGCCACCACTGCATGGCTCTAAATTTTTATCAATTATATGATTTAATATCAATTAAATCTAATATTGCTAAGACATCTAGTTTGAAACTAGACTTTATTTAGTTCTAAAGAGTAAATAATTAAATATATATTTTTAAGCTATATTTTTTGTCTCAACCACAGGAAGCATGTCCAGTTGATGCTATAGTTGAAGGCCCAAACTTCGAGTTTTCGACAGAGACTCACGAAGAACTTCTATATAACAAGGAAAAATTGCTTTTGAATGGCGACAAGTGGGAGAGTGAGATAGCCACTAACATCAGAGCAGACCATCTATACCGTTGAACCCTATCGTTGTTTTGCTAGTGTAAATAATATTTTTGGGAAATGGGACTATTTTCTAATAATTTAATTTGGCAAAAACATCCAAATCCTTTGATTGTTAACGTTTTATTTATTTTAATAGGTAGTTTTTCTGACAGAAAGAGATTTTCTTAAATATTAATTATTACTGAGTAGTCCTTAAGATAAGACGTATAGAATAAATTATTTTTATTTGTGATAAATAAAAACTCATCATCATTTAAATCTGCTTTTATTTACTTTGAATAAAATAATATTATACTAATTAGACCTTACTCAGTTCATTTTATATATTGTATCATATCAACAAATCTATAAATATACCAGATAAATTATTTGACACCTGATAAATAATTTGATTTTTATTAATATAAGCTATTATTAATAACACAACATATAACCCGTAATCAAATTAAAATAACAACAATACATAACTTTTTATTTCTCATCTTTTTTTATGTATTTATACAAGTCCCAAGCAGATTCTCATCTGTTAAAAATCAATACCAAAATAAAGCGTATTAATACTTGAAAATATCAAATAGTGCTATTTTTGGAAAATAAAATACAAGTATTATAGTCAACCAAATCTAAGAAATACTTTTTGACATTTCACATTAATCATTCCGCAGTAACTTTGCACCAGCATACTCACGGGATTTAAAATAACCTTTTACGTAAATCCGAAGAATAATGAAGTTATCTATATTTCATTACGTGTATAGTTTTTATCATAAGTTTTGAGTTTTTCAAACAAAGCAAAATATTAAAAAAATAACCAGTATTAACTTTTTTTACTTGACGTCGTTTCAATGATATGTCGCTATGTATATTACCGTAGTGTTTGGATGATTAAAATTTGTTGGTATGCGAATGATCAAATATTCAAATAATCTGTAAAAATGTTCAAATAATCTAATCATTAATTTTTTTAATGTATTATTTGTTTACTTTAATTTTTATTTTCAAAATTCCTCAAATTACATGAATCATGAATAAAACAAGTTTATTTTTTTACTTTGTCAAAGAAAATTTGTGTAGGCAAAAAAATCATATACAAGGCCGTGCTAAAATAACCACTACAAAATTTCAATATCCCGCCATTTCGGTACCAGTTACTGGACTCCACAGAGTCAGCAATTCATTCTTGGGGCGATGTATACGCTTTTACAACAAAATCCCAGAAAATATACAAAATTTGACGTAAGTACACATGTTAATTGTGTTGATAAAAAGGGTTATTTTAAAAAAGGAATTTATGGATGATAATAACTCCTGGGAAGGGTGATCGCTACCAAGCTATTTCTAATTTGTTTTGTGTTGTTAATTTAAAAAAAAATCTGATTTGTGTTGTTAATTGTAGCACGCATGATTGTAAGCTCTTATTTTTTTTTAAACTAATCCCGTTGGGTTTCTTGCTGGTTCTTTCCAAAATAAATCTGACAGCTGTCAAAATGTATTTCTTAGATTTGGTTGACTATAACTAAATATAATAATTTTACAAAAATAGGACCTTGTATGATTATTGTTTTATGGCAAATTTGTCTTAGAACTATAAAATTATTCTATCATACCTATTTCAATATACTTTGTTGCAAGTGTATGGACATAACAAATAAATTAAATTTTTAGTTGGATGTATTCAATACACTTTAATCTTAACCCTCAAACCCTACTCGGGGTGCTGGAGCACCCCACAAGGTTTATATTTCTTATTTATTTCATTGATTGACAATGCACGTGTTTGACTTTCCGCGTATTTTACTTTGAGGTTACGCGCCACGGATTGGCCAGTGTCGCGGCGACAGCCGGCTGTTGTAGACGTGTGCACGTGTGTCGTTGGGTGCTGTAGCACGCCAGTGTAGGAACAACGTAAGTTTTTAAAATTTTTATAAAACTAATTTTTTAAGCTTACTTCTACAGTTGAACTATATTTTATTATAAACGAATAGATTGCGGTTCAAACATTATGATATGATATAGAGGTTATGTTGTAAAATAAAACATAACCTATACAATGATTTCTTAAATTTACACGAACACTACACATTGAATAAAACTAAATTTACGGATTTTACGTCGGGAATTAAAAATAAGTAAAAGTAGTTAAATAAACGCGATAAAATCCGTAAATTTAGTTTTATTCAATAACCTATACAATTCAATTGTACTTAACTTTTCTTTTAAAATTCAAAAATATGTATTGCACAACAGTATATTTTTCAATGTTTTTAGTGTTTTTACGTTATGGTTTGCAGATGGCTGTGGAAGGTGGACTGAATGATGAAGAAATACGTCTCATAGTAAATCAGGAATCAAGTGACGAGGAAGACCTAGTTTTTCGTGGTTCAGTTACAGAAGATTCTGATGATGAACTTGATGGTATTTTAGAAGATTTTCGTCATATGAATGTGATTGGTCAAACAAATAATGAAGAGGATGCCTTTAGTGGCGATGATGATATGAATTTGCAAGAGCTATCTCAGGATTTAAGAAGACAAGGAAAACTAAAGGTATTGAATGTTCCAAGAGTTCTTTACGGGAAAGGAAAAAATAATAGACACAAGTGGAGTGGAGAAAAGCCAGTGAGGCGTAGAACTCAGCAGCGCAACATTATTATGCATTTATCTGGAAACATAGGTGAAGCGAAAAGTATTACAATGCCAATAGAAGGTTGGGCTCTCTTTCTAAATGACGAAATACTAAATAAAATTGCATATCATACAAATAAAGAAATTGAAAAACAACGTAAGAAATATAAAGGCTTTCAGGAGGAAGAAGATGGTGAGAATATCGCCTCGTCCAGTTTACCATCATTTATAAAACCAGTATCATTGGTAGAGTTAAAGGCTTTAATTGGGCTTTACTATCTCTCAGGAGTGTTTAAAATGAACGACATAAATACCAGAGTTGTTTGACAAATTTATTGGCGTGATGCTTTTCAGAGCCACAATGTCCCGTTGTCGATTCGAGTTCTAGACAAATTGCCTTAGATTTGATGACGCACACGCGAAGAACGTCGAGCTATCGATCGCTTAGCTCCGATTCGTGAAGTGTTTGATCATATTGTAGAAAAGTGTGACAAATACTACACACCAACTGATTGTTGTACTATCGACGAACAATTATTGGCTTAGAGGGCGCTGTGTCTTTAAAATGTACATACACTCAAAGCCCGATAAGTACGGGATAAAAATTTTGATGAACTGCGATTCTAAGACACCTTACATGTTGAATGCTATTGTTTACGTAGGTCAAACACCCTCCCCTCAAAATATGTCAGTGCCTGAGTACTACGTTATGGAACTCTCCAAGCCATGGTATGGATCCCGTCGCAACATAACCATGGACAACTGGTTCACCAGCATACCATTAGCCAAAAATCTGATTGGAAAGGAATTGACCATGGTTGGAACGACTTGAAAAGACAAAGGAGAAATACCAGAGTCTTTTTTGGAGTTAATAAACAGAGAAAAAGTACCGCTATGTTTGCGTATGATGGACCTCTAACTCTGTTGTCCTATTGCCCACCGAAATCGACAAAGAAAAAAGTCATCATCATGTTGTCAACTCTCCACGATTCCCCAGATAACAACAATGAAGTTGAGCTTCCAGAAATTATTCATTTTTATAATAAAACAAAGGGAGGAGTGGATGTGTTCGATGCAATGGCTAAAAAAATACTCTGTACAAATAAGAACAAAACATTGGCCAATGTGCATTTTCTATTGGTTATTAAATGGAGTTGGTATTAACTCTTGGGTTCTCTACAAATGCTCAAAAGCAAATAAATCTTATAGATGAACATTTGAAAATGCGCTTACAAACACCAACTTTGAAGAGGGATATAAAGGAGAGTATCGCGGCGATTCTCACGCAACCCATGCCTGTCGATTCTTCTGGGTCTGAACGTCACACACAGGGGCGTTGTGGTTTCTGTCCGAGAAACAGGGATCGGAAGAGCAAGACCAGGTGCACCAAGTGCAAAATTCCAATTTGCTTGGAACACCAAGTTAAAGTATGCCAAAAGTGCTCAAATTGATGTGTAATGTAAAATTTTAAGGCTGATTCGTGATCACATAATGTCAATTAATATAAATAAAAGTAAAATTTTCTATAACTGTTTTTATTTCTATACTCTACTATTTTATTTTGGGGTGCCTTGTCACACCTGTGTAGGAATACTGTATACGCCAGGCAGTGTAGGGTTTGAGGGTTAATTAGACCCGATTTTACAATCGTCAAAAAGGGAATTTAAACATACAATTGTAATTTTAATTTGTTTGAGTTGTATTTTAGTCTATGAATGAATTTTCAAACTGTGTATTGAAAAAATCACTGTTAGTCTATATATCCATTATCAAATGAAAGTATATTCATTTAATATAAAGTCCTCATTATAAAATTAATTTATATATAAACACCATAATACCATAATGCCACATTGCAATATTATGATTAGTATTTTATTAACTATCTATTTCTCTTCTTAAATTATTACATACTTTGATATTTTGCACAAGCTGTGGGTTAAGTAGCTTACACCTTACACAATTATTATTTTATCTACAGTCAAAATTTTTGTCGCGATGTCTTGCAGTCATAAAAAATCATAACCTTGTCAGTTGAGTAGTAAAGATTTACAAATTTGTTAACCAATTGAAAAAATTACTATCAACAATATTCTAGTAATTAGATTTTAATTTGTATGATTACCCCCTAATATTTTGTAAGCATACCGTTCTAAATCATCTTTAACACAGTCTATACTTCTGTCAGCATCTATAGTTAACACTTCGCAACCTACGTCAGGAGAATTCAGCCAATTTTCATATGAGTCATGGACCTGTAAAAATACCCTTAGTATCAGTTTCTTTTCCATTACATTTTCATAATATCACTTAAAAAAAACTAGTTATATACTCAATGCCTTACTTAGCAAAACCTTTCAGACGTATGACATTAATAATACATACATAAAGCCCCATGCCTGTTACCCAGAGGGGTAGGCATATATTACGGACTTCCATTCGGCACGATCCTGACACACACCTTCCACTTTTTTCACATCTATATATCTATGCATACATGCTTGTCGCTTAAGTTTACTCTATTAGCAATAATGAGAGTTAGACTGATGGACAATTAATTATACTAACCTGCTGTAAATACTCTAAAGGAACTTCAGATTCTTCAGCTCTACCGCGCTTCATCATGCGCTCCCATACCACTTGGGGTGTGGTTCTTAAATATACTGTAAAAGAAAGTACCCTTTAATTTACACAAAAAAATCTACAGGTAAGCTTGATTACAACCAGGCCTGGATGCCGGATTATGGAGAGAATCGGAGATCCATTTTACTGGAAACGAGGCATCCCATCTTAATCCTCATGGGTGACAATGCATTAGCATTTTGATATTTAATTGAGAATAGATAAAGATGTCTATGTTCAACAGCATTTATTTATATCAGGTGGACTGTGTGCTCGTTTGTAACCCTTATTCTTTAAAAACAACTTGGATAGAAATTGTGCTTTGTTTGACATTTGTTTTCACTGTATTGTGTCAGTGTAGATTATAAGCCAATGTCTTATTACGAATATTTTATTTTATCTTTCATTATCATAATGAAAAAAAAGTAAAGCAGTTGCAGCGATTCTCACTGGCAAACAATTTATACATACGCATTGTTGATGGTAGTTAGTGCTAGGGATCAATTACAGTGATCTAAGCAATAAATTGTCCTATGTTTTATTTATAGAATAAGGGTGACAAACGAGCGCACAGTCCACCTGATGGTAAGTGGATGCTGTAGCTCATAGACATCTACATTTATCTTCAATTAAAAATCAATATGCAGATGCGTTGTCATATGTGAGGAATGAGATGGAATGCTTCGTTTCCAGTAAAAAGTGTCTCCGGTTCTCTACACTCACCATACGAAACACAGCAGGTATTATGCTGCTATTTTACGCTGGTATTCTGTGAGAGCGTGATCCTACCCTAGTCAAGCCGATTCATTTGTGCTGCAACCACAATATAGCTGCAGCATGGCTCTGCCACTTAAAAATGTATGAAACTAGCTTTATTTGTAACAAGCAAGATATTGGAATAAGCTTGCATTCTGTTGTAGTAAAATTGTGCTTCCGAAATATTCTTAAGATTCTTTCACAAGCAGTTCTCCTTAAACAATACATTTTAGTTCGAATATGGCTTGTTTATTATACGTATATGAGTATGCACATATACTTTTACTGTTACAGTCTGTTAAAAGTTCACTGCTGAACATAGGCCTCCTCCATAGATTGCCTGATATTTGCCATATTTTTCATAAAGTTAAAAAAAGTAAAGTTACAGCCTATATACGTCCCACTGCTGGGCACAGGCCTCCCCTCATTTCTGAGAGGGTTTTAGGACAATTCGTGTTGGCGAACTTCACGTCTTCGAAATACTTTTTTTGTTATTCCTTAGACACGCAGGTTTCCTCACGATGTTTTCCTTCACCGCCAAGCATGTGGTAAATCAGCACTTAAAATTGCAATTAACAATTTCATTGGTGCCGGCGGAGATCGAACCCGGGTTACTCGCGTTCTGTTATATTTACAGCAAACGTTAACCATCTGAGTTACCACAGCTCATATATTTTTCATATTTGCCATTATTTGGGCAGGTTGGTAACTACAATTTATTTTTTAGTTTTTACGAGATAGATACTGTTGCATCACATCTATTACCCTCCGTCGCCTCCTACCCACTCAAGAGACAATATGGAGTAGTGTATAAGGCAGGGTAAAAATATCCACATGGTTTAATTTTCTAATCAACTGCAACTACAAAGAAAACTTGAGAGTACTGTTTTGCAAGTCAGTAAATATGTGAGTATTGGTAATGAAGAAGAAGTTTGTACTTCTTCTTCTTTCATTCATCAGCCAGTATCAATTGTAGGGAGTTGACAATTGCAGTATGTGACCATTTGAACCTTATGATTCTGCTGCCCGTCACTGGCCACTGGCATAAACAAGATATCGTACCGGAAGCTATAGGAGTTTTCTGGCATTTGAGGTGATGGTTTCTCTTTTTCCACCACACACATCAAGTTTTTTGTGCATTAAATTTTAAATACATTAAATAACCAAGATCAGAGGCAGGGTTGTTGGGTCACATTTAAGGGAGTAACTACACAACCAAACTTTAAATCCACAACAATTTGTAAGTTTGCACAAATGTTGACTTTAACTGGGGTTTGAAGGCACAACCTGAGATAGGAAAGATAATTTTTTTGAAGGAAGGGGAGGCAAACCATCATACAGCTGATGGTAAGTGATCACAGTTGCTCATGTACATCTGCATATGAAGTAGACTCTTTTTATTTATCTTTTCTTTAAGATCCATGTCATATTGGTTCGGAATAATTGCTGACAACAGGAATTTAGTTCCACAGTGTAGTCGCGCGTAAGCCATGCAATCGTAAAAATATTTAAAAAAATACCTATAAGATCTAAACTAATGTCAAGTGTCTTCTCAGTGTAATCAAACCAATTGGCGAGCACTTCATATTCAGCATCTTGGAGGAAGTTCTGTTTCTTGGCATTTTCCACAAAGCAATGCCTACTGTTCTGTACTGATCTGAAATAATAAAATTCATTTTGGCTCAACTCGCAAAATTAGCGTTAGAAAATGTAATGATTTCTGATATTTACACAAACACCAATATATTCATTCATTCCTTGCATTTAATAAAAACAAATTTTACGGATTTCATCAGGTTTAACGGTAGCACCAATGGGTGTTTTACGTGGCACTCTTTCTTGCTGCAGCCATTATACTCCGCGACTTGGCTCTTTTTGCAAAAAGGAGTATTTATTATGCGAAAATGTTTTCAGTGGGTATTTTAACAAATATTATTCAACTGAATTAAGAGTTTTAGAACATTAAAAATTAAAAACTGAATAATGAATATAATATTGACTACCTTTCAAACATCTTAACTGTGATGTCAGGATTTGAAGGTGGGCTGGTCTGTATCTTCAGTCGGCTGAGATGAACATAGTGTTGGAAGCCAAAACTCCAGTGGTTCATATCACTGTAGAGAAGTCCTAGTAGGTTGTGGCCGCTGACATTTCTCCACTCTTGTATTGGTTCCTGAAATGATTGAAACAATAGAGTAATGACAGATTAACAAGTGTCTACATGATCACAGCCCTGCTGCAGTGATCATTGGAGTATGATAACAGCTGGTTGCTAAATGTGCTATCTCTTAAACCAAAAAAAAAAAGCTCCCCTGGCCCACCCCCCACAAACCTTCCTCTTTCCCCTCCCCTTTCCTTTTTTTTTTTTTTTTTCTTCCACCACCAAAAAAAAAAAAATTACCCCCCTCACAATTTAATTTTTAAAATTCATAAATTCTAAAAATAAAAAAAAAAAAAAAAAAGAAAAAAAAAAAAAAAAAAAAAAAAAAAACAACCAACACCCCCCCCCCTCGTCTTATCGCAAAAAAAAATCATCCATCTATCCCAGATGGGTTGAATAATCGGATTTTGTATAATATATTAGTTTTCTTCCGATTTGCTCCCTTGGCTGTGTACAGTCATTTATAGAAACATGATAAAAACTGGTCCAAGATAATTAGTGGACATTACCTATAAAAATATATACACACTCCTTATTTGAAAGGTTAAAGCTGAAATAAAAAGAGTACCTCACAGGATTACCGATTCCTTGGAATCTTAAAATATCTGTTATATATACAGTGTGTGTTGTGTGTCCGGTCACAGACTAGTTATATTGTAGGTACTTACATTACAGCTATCTAATCCCCTTCCCTTCTATGTGACAGCCATTTTGTTGTTTTCTTGAGATATTCTCTACATGTATACAAAAAATTAATGAGATAAAAATTGGCTCATTCGGAGGGCAACAACATTGTCTATCTACATATATTTACATTACCAAAAATTGTTCACATATTTGTAACTTAAAAGAAAAATTTAAGTTCAAATAAATATCAAAAAATTATGCTAATCGGCAAATTGTTGTCAATTA